TGAGCTATCTACACGTATGTCGTTTAAACGTGATACTGAGTCCTTTAAACGAGGTACTAAGTCGTTCAAACGAGATAAGAAGTCTTTTAAACGAGGTGATAAGTCGGATAAATGAGATAACAAGTCGTTTAAACGAGATAATGTAACTTTATCGTGTTGGCAGCAATACGCTTCCGTAGACATCGTGCACACGGTTCCCACTGAACTTTACAAATAGTGAATGTTTCGAGAGGTGGAGAAAAACTACCCTCCAAGGTGACAATTAAAAGCACTTTCTTTTTCCCCTATGGATCACTGAAGAGGGTTTGATTACTCCATATGTTCATCAGGCGAGAAGCTGCCAGTATTTTGCTCTAAAACGCCTGACCCACATATTGTGCACTTTTTAAGCTACAGGTATAACCGGTTATAAATTTAATCTTAATACAGTTAAAATGCGCTTCTATTTTAAATATTGTTAAGGTTTACTAGCACTTTTCCGATCTACTTCTTTGTTTGTTTTAACCTATGGCTCCGTAGCTCTTCGAACTTTGGCAATTTGAGTAAGCGCATTTCCGCGCAAGTACACGTTCGTTTATTGTCCTTGCTACGGGTGTAGTACATGTACTTTTGGTTGTGTATGGCCAGATACATGTATCAAAAGTAACAAGTGCCGTATGTGATAGCTCTCGACCATTCAAGATGCAGAATCTATACGTGTTACACCTGTATATGTAAATCACCACATTGTTAGTGCATTGTAGTTTCATAATATATATCAACGGCTAACCGGGGTGCCGGAATCTTCCACGGATCACTGTTCTGAGAATGCAAGGTTCATTCCTAGGATACATCTTTTACCACCAATAATCACCCACACAATGAAATTGATAAAGCAAATTCATTACATGTTTTCAGCTTTCATTTCCTTCACAGTTTTGCATCCTTGAAAAATAATTACAGGGCAATTAATTATTCACGGAAAAGTACCACAAATTACGATGTGCACGTACTGTGCAGCGCAAAGACATACATGTATTGTAAAGTATTTTAAATTTACCGCTGGAGCGGTTCCAAGAAGGGAGCATACAGGGTTCCTGACCCCTGAGAAAGAGTAAATAATTTTTGGAAACTCAACATTAAATCCAATTACATGTTTGTAACATTGGCTTCAACATTTTGGAGGAATCACCCTGAAAACCGAAGCTTGTTGTACTCTTGCCCAACAATACAGGCGAAACAAGACTTACAGCACAACTCCAACAGTCCTCACTCCTCTAATTTCATTATTATTTGACACACACCCTAAGGGGTTAGGTTAAAGAATTTAGAAACAGCAACACAAAACAGCAGTTAAAGTGAGCAAGAAAAACAATACCCATTATAAAGTTTTAGAAATAATACCAAACGTTAAATATATGGGTAGACACAACAATCAATAATGTCTCAGTGATGGCTAAACCACCTACAAAGATGATGAATTAGGTACCTTTACATTGATACAGGAATGTGTTTAATTTGTATTTTGAAAGTATTATTCAAAGAGCAATAAGTTAAGGGGCAAGATCGTTCCAGTTTCTTGGTCCAGAGAGATACATTTAGGCATAAAATATACAGGTATAACTGTTTCCATGAAAACACCACAAGTAGACCTTTACTCACTGACTTAAATTATTGCTCAACAGCATTTGTGGAAGTTTGAGGTCTAACAAGACCAGAAGAAAATGTCGAATTTTTATATTTTAAAGCACTATTACCACTTAATCTTCCACCTTAAAATGGCGTTCCCACTTTGCTGAAATCAAGTTTGGGAGACAAATAAATGTCTCCACAGCATTTTGTCTTGGGTGAAAATACAAGTGCATGTCCCCACAATTACAGAGAATGCAAGTGTGGCCTCAAGAAAGCATAACAACGATGGCAACTGCAGCTCATCTATTAAGTGCACTACATCACGCCTTAAATAATTTTGGCAACCTACTTGATAGCACACTTACTGTGTTTAGAGACATGTACATATATTATGTGCAAAAGTACAGGTAGGATGGCAACACCTATGTAAAGGTATCAAATTTAGCAGTCCTTGACTTACAGTGCATCACAAAAGGCATTGTTATACCCTTGCTTTGACCAGGGACCATCTTACTCAATCACAAAATCTTTCGGGGCATGTTCTCAACCAGCTTCTTACACCAGTTCTTCGTCTGGCAGAAGATGAGTACATTCCCCCGAAGGGTGGGGCCAGGGGCTGGTCCATCTCCAACAACTTGGCCAGGGTAGAGTTGTAGATTACCAGGCCTTCCTTCATGCAGTGGGTCAGGGGTACGGGACAGAAGTCAGTGCAGTACAGGTCAGCTTCTAGCCACTGGGCCAGGTGGTCTAAGTTGGGGACGGTAGCACTCATACCCACAATCCGGATGGAGTTGGTGGGTACCGGACACATTGCACTGTAACAGAAGTTCAGTAGACTTTGTTACTCAACAGAATTAGACAGATAGTGTTCAAAATACCAACTACTACTCATCATGCGCATCAAAAAGGGGAGACTCTCCCTAGAAAACAAATTTAAATTGATTACATAGGGGAAAAAGAATGAGAAGAGAGGAAAGGAGGTGAAAATGACGATCATCAAATGAAATAGAAAAACAAAAGTTTACTTGAAACTTATACCCCAGAGTTTACCCCCTTCTATCAGTGATGGTTTTTTGCTCCTGCTGATAAATGTTTTAGCTTTCTTGAAGAAAAAACCATCTGGTGATGCCCATGCCTCACACTGATCTAATGAAAGGAATCTATCCTTGCTATCACCTCTGATAGAAGCAAATACATGAGTATGTACATGTACAGTACTTTGCTGAAATCTTTCATAATTCTGCAAGAATCGATGTAACATACATCCTGATTGCCATTTTAGGATCTGGTAGGATAATGGCTTGGTCATAATCACTGTGGATGCAATTTCATGACGTCGGGTCAAACGTTTTCGAGACACAATTTGCTAAAGTTGAAAACATTTCAACTAATTATGGTGCAATCATTCCATAAAGCTTTATCATATGCCAGAAGTATTAACTGGCCTTGAAGTTTAATTTGGCATCCCATTGGGAAAAAAAGGACAATTAATGGGATTTCTTGAAGAATGGCAGACACAACAGGAGGCACTATTTGAAGTGAGTAAATCTGAAGTAAATACAAATGATTTTACCTAAACCCAGGCATGCAACCTGAACTTTGACAAAAGACAAGGAAATTCGAATCTTTAGGAGACTTTGTATGGTGATTTTGAATCATCAATGGCATGAATGTGAAGTGCAAAATGAGGAAGAGGAAAAGTTGGGTGCCTGTGAGCCGAATAGCGCAGTCCTATTGTGTCTGCCATATCTCAAATAGGCTAATAAACCATATTCGATCACACAAAATGTAACAACTTGAATTCCCCAGACTAAAGACACTGTTGCAATACCTCGTGATTTGGGGCAAGCTTTTACATAGCCACTACCATCGATCTCTGGAATGGACTGGTTCCTTTGTGCCCTTTTTATCCACTGGAAAGCAGTGTACTGTTGCAAGGCATCTCTTACACTGTATGTAACTAAGCAAAAGCTTGCCGTGAATCACGAGGTATAGCAACAGTGTTTTTAGTACATTCTGTTAAGTTCATGTGAATTTAAAGAACTCAGTTTACCAGACTTTATTCAAATTTAACTCACAAAAGGCTTATTGCCATTTATACATGGTGGCTACCTGCAGTGTTTTTGAAGCATCGCTTCCCTTCTTGGTGATGTAGCAGACCTTTGTGAGCCGAAACTGCAGAAGATCCTCCCTGGACGTCTCTCATCATGTGCAGCTCATCAACCACAATGACGTCCAAATTAATGGATGGAATGTTGGTGATGGATTCTTATTGAAAAGAGTGATGCAGGCGACCATTCAAAGCAGTTGTTATGGTAACATTAGATGGTGACTGAAACAATTAGTGAAGATAAAGAAAATATTTTCAAAGAATATTACATCTAGGAGTGTAACTGGTGATAATGAATGACAGTACATAAATGGTGCTATGAGGGATAACAGAGAGTGACAAGATGGCCATAACAGCAAAAGAGAGACTGTAACAACAAACTAAAATGCTGATGACAGTGTTTGCATGAGGAACATGACTCACCCAGTTGATGGGCTTAGTTCTCCTCCAGTAGTCCATTTACAAGACTGTTAGCTTTCTCAATGGTACACACAGCAAGGTCAATTGCCTTGAACCCACCAGTAGGTGACTCACTACCCATATACCCACCAACACGGACTCCTGCATCTTGAGACATGCCCTACAAAGCCCAAATAAATACATTGAGTAAATAAGACTGTTCAGAACAAATACATTGTCATTTATAAGCAAACTACTGACCTCAACGGCAATACGTGTACATGTATGTGTGGATGCATGTGAAAGCGTTCATTAC